AAGAAGAAGAAGATGATGATGATGAAGAAGAAGAAGAAGAAGAAAGAAGAAAGAAGAAAAGAAAAAAATAAATGAAATTTAGGAAGGAAAAAAAAAAGATACAGTCCAACACAGGTATCAAAGTGGGCATTTGTAAACCTGGTTTAACAGACAATGCGTTAGTTAGCCAAAACTAAACGCCTTGAATATTCCCCGAAATAGTCGCCCAGACCCGGCATCAGTCGCAGCTTTTTATAAATAATGATGATGAGTACTATCAATATGAACTATATGCCTACTCTTCTCATTCTTCCTTTGTCATTCCCACGACCATTTAACATTTTCACCGGTAGTGCCATTATCATTCTAAATAACAAAAACATTTAATGCGCCATCTCGTCCGCATGGCCGTTCTGGTGTTGATTGATTCTGATAAAAGAAAACAACAACCGAGCTTGGAATACTGCTACTTAGTTTCAATATAGTTACGCTTGTATGCAGCATAAATATCACGGCATGCGTTTCCCTACATTGCAGCCAGAGGAGAATCCACTCGTATCCAAGTGCCTTTGCGCCTTTATTTTTCTTTTCTTTGGCTTTCACCGGTTTTGTAGATATTTTTGTAACTTCTACCAACAATATTACTGATACTAATGGTCGTGCAATATGTTTATCCCATATGTTAGTCTCCATTCGGTCTGAGCTGACTGACATTCGAAGTTCATTAAGATATAACTGATATGGTTCTACATCAGTTAAGGCCGATTCCATCAGTTTGAAATGCGTTTGCTGTGTTTTTTAGCAACATAGATAAGGCTATACAATTAATTGAAAGATATCCAGTAGAAGCGATAAGGAATAGCAGGGAATCGTAGGGACTTTGTAGCGATAGCGCATGCGCATTTGCCTCATCATTTATTTCTTACTGCGCATGCTAAACGAAATAAATATTCATTTCGTCGAGCATGCGCAGTAAAAGATAAAGGCCCTGGTACGAGATTGGTTCGATCACTAAAATCGAGTAGAGGAGAATTTGCCGGGAGAATTTGTTTAGTCTCCCTTGGGTTTTTTCGGTTTTCCTCCATCCGCAAAACCTATCTTTGTGAATTCAGATTCGATCTATGAGAGCCATGTTCTAAGAAGTTGTTTCATGGTTCGATCTCTGAGTAATTAAGCCGTGACTTAGATCAGCCCAAAGGTTATTTCAGGGTTTGATCTGTTAGTTAGCAGTGCCCTGACTTTGATCAGCCCAGAGGTTATTTCAGGGTTTGATCTGTGAGCTTGCCCTGACTTTGATCAGCCCAGAGGTTATTTCAGGGTTTGATCTGTGAGTTATAGCCGTGCCCTGACTTAGATCAGCCCAAAGGTTGTTACAAGGTAGCCTATTCTCACTTAGATCAGGCCAGAGTTTGTTTCAGGGTTCGATGAAATCGAAAATAGAATCGTACCCAAATAACAGATTAAATTTCATGATCATGTATGTTACTGCACGAGATAAATTTCGTAATCTTACAACACTTAAGAATGTTAACCAGAAAGAGCCTGTACGAGTGCTACATTGCATGCCTAATGAACAAACGCGTGATGTACCAAATCTAATCTAATCAATATTCTTGCGCAGTATTTTAGTGTCAAGAAAACCTGTCAGCCTATCACTTATTCTATACAAATATTTGCTCACTTATTCATGACAAATGAGCCATATTAGTATAGGAATATCTTTTATGACTTGCCGACTTCAAAATATTAGTCCACTGCTCTTCTTATCGAAGGGTTTTCTTCAGGTTTTCCGGTTTTTCTCAGTGGCGCAAACCTAACTCTAACCTCTACATATATTCAAATTCTAAAACAAGGAATACAATCATATTAGCCACAATTAAGCTATCAATTTTTATCATTGCTAAATTAGAGTGGCTTATTTCGTACATTTTATTTAGTGAATTCAGTCGTTTTCCATTTCTGAACTGGCGCAAAATTCGCTCTACAAGAATTTTTTTCTACCACTCCGATGTAAATTTAATGTAGCCATTTCGCCACCCCCCCCCCCCCCCCCGCCCCCCAAAAAGGCCAAAATTTTGATTCATATATGGCCCCCTTTTTTGTGCTGAAGACCACACCTTATGCCTAACTAACGTTCGTATTCACCTCAAAGCAAGCGGTCAGATAATATCCATAGTTTTTCGATGTGATCAGAACTTATTGAAAAGCACAAAAAACAAAAAAAACAAAAAACAAAAAAAAAAMCAGAGAAAAAGACAGCTGTGCAGTAGTTGCTTATCCCACAATGTCTTAATAAAGTAATAGAATTTAAGAAAAAGAACTTTATTTGTACCCATTATTACATTTTTTTTTTGTTTGTTTGTTTGTTTGTTCTAATTTGATACATTATTTTATGTTAAAACAGATTGAGGGGTACCAACTTCCAAAAATAACTAGAAATCTAAAAATGCTGGGAGTTGGTTTACATATTAAAAGTAATTACATTTAGGGTCAGGATTTCTGCTATTTATAATCATAATAATGAGCATAATAACACACCGTATAAACAAATAGGCAAAAAAATTAATATGATTGAAAAAATGACAACAAAAAAAAGGACATAAAAACTATACAAATACACACGCAGCACACAAGAGCATCATCAGTCTTTACAGTATATAAGTTAAYTTGTAAAAGTAAAACTTGATCTTAATATTTAGAATTTAATTCATTTTTCTTAAATTGATAAGATGGCCGCCATATCGGTAAAAGGGCCCATATTCTACCAGCTGGATCATCTATGTAGCATATAAGTTAGCGGTGATGGGACAACTGCAATATTCAGACACTTCTAAGAAGTGTCTTACACGCGGTACAGGTCGGAAATGAGTGACATTATTTTAAGTATTTCCTGCGCTACTGCAGTAGAAAAAGATCAAACGTTTTACAAAGTTCCCGGCGGCGCTTCCCTGCTGGCAGAGGCGCCTTTTCCCTCCCTTTTCTTTTCCGATCCAGAAAAAGAAAAAAAGAGAGACTCTTTCAGCAGGGAAATCAAGCGCAGTCTTAGATTTTTGAGATAGAATGTTCGCAATTAATTGGATGGTTAACAATTAATTGGGCAAATCAATTGAGAGTGAAAGGATGGAAGTGTTATTAATCACGATAGACAACGCTCGAAATATTAAATTTCTTGCACAATATGTACCGAGGCTTTCCGGCATAAAATGTTCAAAATTTCATTTAACCTCAAAGGATGAATAGATATGCAGTCAATGTCATTAACGTTGTCCACCGAAAAAAGACATTTACACATTTAGACTAAAAGAAATATCACGTGTTACCTCGAACGTTCTGTCATAAAACAAACGCTGAAATACCATTTTCTCCATATTAAATCCTAACTGGATTCCATCCTTGGCAATCTGGATTTTCGATTCACGAGTTGAATTTTACATTTAAAGTTCAGGCTCACTTTAGTCTAATTGTCTAAATGTGTAAATGTCTTTTTTCGGTGGACAACGTTAATGACATTGACTGTATAGTGATGTAGATTCGATTATAACGTCTTTGAATAGTGAACTGACCAGAATTTCTACCAAAATTCCACACATATGGTATTTAGAATGAATAATTAATAATAATGTCGAGTTTTCTTTTAAATTTTTTTCTTTTTAAGAACTGAGAAACCATTTATTCATTTAAATACTTTTCTACCAAAATTCCCTTATTATTGTCGAAAGGTAGGAACGTCGTTTATGGTAAATCATTTCATTCCCACCAATGAATGTATTTGATGATCCATATGTTAGTACCATACATGAAGTACCATTCGACTAAAACCTGGCAATCAAATCTGAATTTAAATATATTGAATGTCATAATAAAGCATGTCTGGCAAGCTATTAGGAAAACTAAAAACAAATAACTTTTACCTAAATATCTCTTTAAAAGGAAATTTGTGTCTCGGTCCTAAGCAAAACGACAATTAAGACGGGAAAACGTACTGAAAACATGAAAACATGTTTTGTTAACACAAAAGGCAATGTCCACAAACACTGTTGTTGCTACGCAACCAGCTCTTAGTCAAACATAAACTAGTCAGTTTTCGCAGCTTTGAGATCTTCATCTTTGCCTTCGTTTTTTCATTTGTTTAAAGAGAAAGAAAGTGTCGACCAATCAAGGAGCCCGCCAAAATTCCACATATATGGTATTTACTTTAACAAAAATGAATAATTAATAATAATGTCGAGCGGGTTCCTTTTAAATTTTTATCTTTTTAAGAACTCAGTGAGAAACCATCTATTCATTGAAATACTTTTCTCTCAACAAAACAATAAAAAGTAATTGATAAAATAGGTATTTCTAGTGCTAATATTTCTCAAAACATTCAGAATCCTACCGATTTAGTAATTAATTGGAGAAGATTAGAGCTTAAGTCTTTAGAAAACTGAAAATAAAAAATGTATAATTTATTTTAGTAGCCAAAACAGATAGCCAAAATTAAGATTATACTATAAAGCAGAACTCCTTGCTATAGTCTTCAGTTGATGACTCTAAAAGAAAGAAACGGGGGAAAAAGATAGAAAGAGAAGAGAAAAAGAACAATGAATTTTCTATTTATTGTCAAAGAATACACCAGCTGTGTTTTTTGAGCACCCCTTAGCATTTTCACTGTTTCACTGCATGAATTTTGTCATTGTCTACTTTTCCCTCAAGGATTAGAAACTAAAGCTAAGCTAATAACTTAGAATCGCATAGCCAAAGGAAATAGAATTTAAAAAAGTGGAATAAGAAACTTGTCATAATTCTATTACAACAAAAACGATTTCGGCATTTCAATAACGAAAATGAAATTTGTTTGAGGGAGTATACAAATTGGTTCTAAAAATAAATGTCCCCAAATGCTTTCCATTCATTGTCGATAAATATCTCCCCAAAACCACGGTAAATAAACCTCAGGCCTTGACGATGTAAAGGGGGATTCTTTTTGCTTCAATTTCTAGAAAACACTTCTAAATACATAGTATGAATCCAATTTGAACTGAAATTTCGCCAAACAATACATGCACTATGTCCAATTTCTATCAGATTGATTCAGAACGATTTCCAGCGATAAGTTTTAAATTTTAATTTGTTTTTCTCGGCTCGTTAAACGATTTTCCAAAACTATTTATGATTTTAATTTATTCAATTACAACTCTTTTGAATGGCCTCGAGCTGAGAAAACGAATAATGAAAAAAAAAAAGAGCTTTGGCTTTGATCTATGACTTATATTTTATCTTATTAAAACAGTAAGAGTGCATGGAACCAAATTATCAATCAATACTTTCGAACAAAGAGAATATGAATCCGGTTTATAAAGCCAACCAGGGTTAGCAAGTTTAATAATTTTTCAACCGTGGGAGTCTCCAGAAGTCCTTTGTAAACTTTTTCATATAAGATTTTAATACAACTTTCAATTCAATCACATTTGAAAGGCGGTATAATGAAGAGTATCAATGAGTCTAAGGTTTTCAATGATTGATGTGAAATACTTGAGAATCTTCATTTGTTTTCCACCATCTACAGCACAATATCTTGTCCCCAAGAAAATTCTTAATACTAGAACGGAATTTACCGTTTAAAAACCCGTACAAAAATGGGTTCATTGAAGAATTAAGGAACGTTAACCAAGTGGTCAATGCTTTAACAGAGAGTGGTATTGTGATTCTATTTAGGCTTGAATAGAATATCAAAATGAAATGGGGCGACCAACAAATAATAAAGGCAGCCACTATAAGAAGAAGCATCTTGAATCCGCGCGCTTTGTGCTTACGTTTGCTGATGTTTTTTGAGTTGTAGAGCCGCTTAGTACGTATAGTATTCGTAGCTGATGTAATTTCAGTATTATCTGATGTGAAAGTCTTCTCTCGATTTGAGTGTCTGTGAATATTTCTAACGATCTCTTGCTCTTGAGGTTGTACATTGATGACGTTCAGTTTAGGAGCGTGATGGACCTGACGAAACTGTTTTCTAGCTGTCCACAGAATAGAAATGTAGAGAAAAGCGAGAATTGCAAAAGGGATAACAAAACAAGTGGCAAAAAGGAAGCTTGTAAAGCCGTTGTCTTTTTGTGGCGTTCCAAACTCTGGTCGACAGATGCTTTCGACTTTAATGTACGCATAACCACTTCCCCAACCCAGAGCGGGTAGGAGAGAAAAAATCGCAGCGACGAGCCATACGAAAGCTAGCATGCATACGCAAGCTTTATTCGTGAGGTATACACAGTATTTGAGTGGGTGTTTGATGGCCAAGTAGCGGTCAATAGCTACTAATACCAGAGTTAGAATCGATGCTATGCACAACGTCGAGAGAATCAATCCGGAAATGCTACACATCAAGCCACCAAATATCCAGTCGTCAACGATACAAGACACCAGAGCAAATGGCATACAGAGGATGGAGAGAAGAAAGTCGCTTGTTGCCAGATTCAAAATAAAGATATTTGTAACTGTTCTCAATGACCTGTTTTTTAAGATACAATGGCATATAACTCCGTTGGCCAAAGTACTAACAACTATCATGAAGAACATTGTTATGGCTTGGACCACCAGTACCAGAAGTGGTTTGTTCTGGTATGATAAGCTATCCCCTGCTATTGTTACACTTGTTTTACTTGAATTGTTGCTAAAAGTCATCGTACGTACAACTTTAGTCGAGCCGAAAAGCCGCAGTTTCGCAGTTATAGAATAACAAGGTTATGCCTCGTTCCAACCAGCAATCGCTGGGTTAATTCACTTAGAAATGAGAAAAACACTTCGCCAACCTTTGAGACTTGAGACTGTCGAAGAATTAATCTAAAACCAAATACTTAAAGATTGTAAACTGCCTAAAAATGATGGTGCATCGACGGAATGGCAGTTTTTGCCAGCGAACTAGACTTGATTCGAGCGATTCCCTTAGCTGTTGCTGTATAAACAATGATCGGCGAGTCAAACATTTTCCCAGAACATGACCATCACACTCGCCTGTGACAATGTGAAAATCATACGATTCGAAATCGGTTTATATGAACTATATCATCAACTTACCAGCTGCCGACCTTACAAATGCCAATCTAATCGCCATTCGCCATGGCAACAGGAAAAAGATATATTTATTCTCTACTAAACGTTGTTTTTGAGGGGACTATTAGTTTCTATTACCTCTGTAATTCCCCTCAGGTGCGTAATCTGTTTACGAACAAAAAACCTATTTCGTCAAATCCGGTATAGAACTTAATTTATTTTTTTTTTATTTTTTTTATTTTCTTATTTTTTGGACTCGATCAAATTGGTTGGCCTTTTATGGAAGTGTAAGAAAATTACCTGAGATACGAAGATGATATGCGGTGACAGCCACCTTGAGTGCCTTGCGGATGTGAAAATCCTTCTTGTGAAAAGTTAAATTTCATTTGATCAAATAGATGAATATTACACGAAATATTGAATTTTCTTTGCTACGTATATTTAATTTTCTAGTAAATTTTGTATTAATTTATTAGCTCTTTTTTGTAGTTTATTTTTTATTCTAAAACTTAAGTTATCGAGCAAAACTTTCAACAAAATGATAAACAACAAAGACATTTGATTACTCATTAACATCTCAGATTACTCAATATTTTTTCTGATTACAATTACTTGGGCCTTCATTTAAAGAATTGCAGAGCCATTATTTGGTCAATCTTAACTTGATTATTTTATTTTATTTTATCTTATTTTATCTTATTTTTTGGTTTGATGTTTTTATTGTCTGTGTGTGTTGCGGTGTTATGTGTGTGTGTACGTATCTGTCGGTCTGCTTCTTTTACTGAATGGCTTTGTTCACCATATTATCGTTATTGTTGTTATATATTGCTGCGTATTTGTAATTTTAATTTTTTTTATTTTATTTGAATAAAATTGGGACAGGGCTTCGATTTCTAAATATATAACGTTTTCTCTGGGGATAACAGTGATCAGGCCTAGATCTAGTAGTGTTATTGATTGTTTTTCCCCCTTATTTTTCTTCTGGCTTCATATCCTTACTGGTTCCGTTCTTTCATTATTTGATTTGCTTTCATTCGTGTTTTCTTTCTTTCTTTCATTCATTCATTCTTTCTTTCTTTCTTTCTTTCATTCATTC